GAGAGGTAATAGGCCCAAGAACTTTCGACGAAGGTCTATTCAAACAACTCTTCTTGTCAAAACTTCCCCAACAGGTGCAAGCAGTTCTGGTCTCGTTCCAGAACAACGCCATAGACGAGCTAGCTGCATCTGCCGACCGCATTTTGGAAATTACGAAACCCTCTACTACCGAGGTATTTTCAGTCAAAGAAAAACCTCAAACGACTCAGAATGATATAACCGAGTTATGTCACACACTCACGCGTTATCTTAATCTTCGTACCGACCGTAAGAGATCGCGCACACCACGTAGAAGCATTTCTCGTAAGCGATCTGTCTCTAGACCACGAGAGACAGATAACCCCGACTGGTGCTGGTATCATAACCAGTATGGAAAGTTTTCCAGAAATTGCAGAAAACCCTGCAATTTTCCCAACACGAAACCGACTGACTCGAAAAAGAACTCGGGAAACTTCCAAGCCGGCACGCGTTAACGGCAACCGTAGCCGGCGAACATAGCCGTCTGTTATTCGTCACGGATGTGACGACGAGAGTTCGCCACCTCGTCGACACTGGCGCAGAAGTTAGCGTTCTCCCAGCGAATCCTAACGACCGACTTCGCGAATCGACTCTAAACTTACAGGCGGCAAACGGAAAACCTATCGCTACCTATGGCGAAAGGTACGTTTACCTTAACGTGGATTTACGCAAACCCATTCACTGGATTTTCGTTGTTGCAGATGTTTCTATGTCAATCATTGGTATGGACCTTCTACAACATCACAATCTGATCACCGATGCGCGCAAACGGAGGCTAGTAGACGGAAACACTGATTTATCCGTTTGCGTAACTTCTTTTACTGGTTGTAGAGTATTCCCAGTCACAATTAAACATATGATAGACCCACTCTATCAACCACTACTCGATAAGTACCCTGGGATACAACAAACTCAACCGAGATTACCGTGTGTAACCAGCAATGTTACACATCACATCACGACTACAGGACCATCTGTATTTTCTAAAGCACGACGACTAGCTCCTGAAAAGTTAAGGTTAGCGAAAAACGAATTCGATCACATGATGGAATTAGGAAGCATACGACCGTCAAGTAGCCCATATGCATCTCCGTTGCATATGGTCCCTAAAAAGGACAGCAACGATTGGCGTCCAACTGGTGACTATCGGCGATTGAACGCGAAAACCATTCCCGATCGTTACCCGTTGCCTCACATTCACGATTTGACAGCTACTTTGAAAGGTACAACTGTCTTTTCGAAAATCGATTTGGTTAAAGCGTATAACCAAATCCCTATGGCTACTGACGACATACCGAAAACAGCTATCATAACTCCCTTCGAACTCTATGAATTTTTGCGAATGCCTTTCGGTCTAAGGAATGCTGCTCAAACATTCCAAAGATTAATAGATGACGTTTTTCGAGGTCTCAACTTCGTACACGCGTATGTTGATGACTGCCTAATCGCAAGTCCGGACAGAGAAACACATCTCAAGCATCTGGATCTTGTTTTCGAACGATTACAAAAACATGGCATAACTGTAAACGTTCAGAAATGCCAAATTGGAACCGACTCGTTAGACTTTCTGGGACACGCTATCGATGCTCAAGGTATCTGACTCCTTAGAACCAAAGTGGCAGCCATTCTGGATTACCCGGAACCGACCACGATCAAGCAATTACGCACGTTTAACGGCCTCGTATGTTTCTATAGACGTTTCATACCGAAATGCGCATTACTTATGAAACCTCTGACCGACCAACTTCGTGGAAATGCGAAACAGATTAACTTGGACGACACCGCACGAAAAGCATTCTCCACAGTTAAGGAACTGATTGCTAAAGCAACAATGCTCGCACATCAGGACACCGAAGCACCCATTATTATCGCAGTAGACGCATCGGACTCGGCAATCGGAGGCGTCTTACAACAATGGGTTAACAACTCCTGGCAACCCTTGGCATTTTTCTCTAGAAGGTTGCTAGACACCGAATCGAGGTACAGCACATTCGGTAGGGAACTCCTAGCTATGTATTGTGCTGTACGGCATTTTCAACACTATATCGAAGGCCGTGAATTCACTCTTTTCACGGACCATAAACCGCTCACTTTCTCGTTAAGCTCTCCTTCTGACAAGTACTCTCCCCGTGAGTCTCGACAACTGGACTACATTTCGCAGTTTACTTCAGATATTCAACACATCTCTGGAGCAAACAATGTAGTTGCAGACGCCTTATCTCGCATAACTTCCTTGAACAGTTTCCAAGGAATCGACCTTCTTAAACTCGCTCAGCTTCAAAAAGAAGACAGTGATCTTCAGCACGAGTTATCGTCCACAACACCTAAACTACGCATCAAACAGATGGGAACAGTTAAGGAAACCTTACTTTGTGACACATCTACAGGTAGGGATCGCCAAATCGTGCCGAAACGTTATTGACGCAATGTCTTCAATACATTGCACAAACTTTCTCATCCAGGTGTTCGTGCAACCATCAAGCTTATGGCAGAAAGATTTTGCTGGCCTGGAATGAATAAAGACGTGAGGGAATGGGCACGCTCCTGTGTAAGCTGCCAAAAATCTAAGGTTATCAGACACAATAAATGTCCTTTAGGCTCATTTAAAACTCCCGATGCTTGTTTTGACCATGTTCATCTGGATTTGGTAGGACCTTTACCAGATTCAAATGGATACTCTTATCTCTTAACCTGCGTAGACCGTTTCACTCGATGGCCAGAAGCAGTACCTATTAAGGACATCACTGCTGAAACAGTGGCCCGCACCTTCGTTGAACGATGGGTAGCAAACTTCGGTTGCCCTTCAACCATCACCACAGACCGCGGACGTCAGTTTGAATCTGATCTTTTCCGTCATCTGACCACACTTTTAGAAATCACTCGCTTCTGAACGACCGCCTACCACCCACAAGCAAACGGGTTGGTAGAACGTTTTCACCGACAACTAAAAGCTTCACTATCAGCTGCAAACGTTTCACAGTGGACCGACGCTCTTCCACTTGTCTTATTAGGTATTCGCAATGCAGTGAAAGCTGGCATTGGATACACTGCGGCTCAACTCGTCTATGGAACGACACTTCGACTTCCAGGAGAATTCGTGGATCCTTCGTCCTCTTCAATGAACATGGATCTAACCTCCTACACGAACAGGCTTACAAACGCAATGCTTTCAGTTAAACCTGCTTCCACTCGACCTCAATCAACTGATGTTTTCCTTCAACCTGACTTACGATATAGTACACACGTTTTCGTTCGTCGAGACTCGCATCGACGACCATTCGAATCAGCATACGAAGGACCCTTCAAAGTTCTTCAACGTGAATCTAAGTACTATATAGTCGATAAGAACGGAACCAACGATAGTATCAGCATCGTATTTAGAAGGAAATCCTATTCACGTCGACTTTCCTTCGGTACAATCGCACAACACAACTCCTACACTCATAATTCCTCAACCGACAACCAACACTAGCGATGCTTCTCCGAATGTATCTGAAAATGTACCTAAATCGACACGTTGTGGAAGAAGAGTAAGATTTCCAGAACATTTAAACGACTACTGCACGTAAGGCACCACTCGACATTTTATATTATCTCGATTTTTCTTTTTACGATATATAATATTTGAAAAAAAACGTTCAATATGTCTATATATTTATATTGTTGTTTTTTAAAAAAAAACAAAAAAAATATTTTTTTAACGCTATAACGTGTACTTCAGTTTATTTTCCATTTTGTTTCGCCGACATTGTGTTTTTACGCACATACGAGTGTATTTCGACATGCACTTACATTTTCTTTTTTCTGTTCCAGGACGGCTGGAAAAGAACGATGCAGTTTACGAGGAGTCGAAAATTTCGTTGCAACTTTTGTTTTTACTATGTTGTACCTCGGTCCCATATAGTAAGGAAAGACGACCAGACGCTGCTACACTTAGTAAGCTATCAGAAGAGTGTTTACCAACGACAAACTCGTTGGGTTTAAACTTCTGGCTGGCCACGTCTTAGGGTCGTCACTGCCCCACTAGTGGGGAGTGATCTGTAGCGGTAAATAAATCCCCAAAATAAATAGCACTAAGTTTTCGACATTGGATGCTGACCATATGTTTTAGTGGACTCATCTAGCTGAAGGCGCCCGGTCAGGCATCCCCACCAGATCACGTGTGGTAGCGCCGTGCTCAACATCAACCGCAATCGCTAGCCAGATTAGATCAGAGAATTCCGATATATTGGTCATCGCCAAATATACTCTTCCGATCTCCTCGACTCTGTCTTTTGATTTCTCTGGGCGGGAACGAAATATATTAGAAGGTGTTACTGGTAGAAGCGTTGTCAAACACTGAATACCTGTGACATCATCACTGAAAAAACCCAAAGTGGTTTGTTCACAACACTTATGTACTTATAAGCTGTTTGTGAGTATTAATAATAATATCAGCAATAAACTTGAATGTAATAGCTGTATAATCACTTCAAGCTATAGATGGTAGGTACTTCATTTAACCATCATTTCCATGAACGGAGACTAAGTGTCAGATAGAAGAGTTCTGTAGGTCATAACTGGTATTTTCTTTAATGTGCTGGATTAAAGCTAGTGGCTCTGTCTTCAGGAGGCCTCAGTTTAGGTATACAGTGAATTCACTTACCAGCTTCTAGTTTATTTAGAACGAAAACATCAGTTACTAATTCAGGACTACGCCACACTACAACTAGTTCTGTCTCTTAAGATTTCAATTTCAACTGGCATCGCAACAGATCGCGTAGCATTAAGCAATGTCCCAGTGTCTCTACAGCCCGAACCGTTGGGCGTTAGTCAAACATAATATGACACCAATACGTCGTAGTATCATTTACTGAAGATTTTATCCTCAAGCAGAAGAAAATATGTCGGTCTGCCATAACAATGTTTTAACTGAGCCATTTAGCTTGTTAGGTGAACAAAGACGGCAAAATGTGTCATCTAAACCAAAAATAAGAATCTTAATGCTAAAAAAGTAAGCATTATCGCCAAGATTTGACCTGATATTTGCAAACAAATTTTTCAACTGGACAACTTTTGAATGATTAAAATGATGGTGCATTTATAATGTCGCAGTGGGTAATAATTGAAGTTCCCCACGTTTTATAACTTAGTTTAAGTTGCTTCTTCATAACAAGTAGGCAAATTTGCTCGTCACTGTGGTATTGGACATTAAATTTCATAATTTTGAAAAACACTCTAGCTGGGGGAATTTCGATCGTAAGTTTAGGATGCTTCAGTGAAGCGATGCATGTCGAGATTGAATGGTACTGGTTAAGCCTATAGGCTTAGAAGCCAAGTATACCGGGCTTCTGCTCATGCACTTTTTACCTATGTTCCTTGTTGCAGGGCCACTTTAGTTGTTCGAATACCTATTAATCACATTGAATCAAAAACTAAAAAAATCCGTCAAAAATTAGTTGTGACTGTCCTGAAGTACGGACCCGAACGAACGATAATCAAAAAGTTATGGCGCAAACATAAAAGTAGGGCTAGGAATCGGTGTTAGAGGCTGATGTTAAGTTTCAATGTGTTCATCACACGGATCCTGGTCATACCCTAACCCTAACTCCTAGCATAATAATACATTCAGTTATCCCTTCCGTATATTGCTTAGCTAACGCAGTCTACGCTTCTAGGACACTCGGCCGTGTACTTTAGACTTGTCTTACATTGGAGTTTGACCCTAGCAGTTGTCATTACCTATATGAATTTATTTTGCATGACATTCAACTAGTTTATAATAAAATGATGTTGGATCTCTCAGGTTGTTGCTCTAAGGTGTCGCAACTCAATCGCTTCCCAAAAGTTTCCACGATTTATCAAGACACTTAGTTGAAATGTACTATTTTTTTTTAACAAGGTCCTTAGGTTCCACTTTTTGAGTCTTCATGACGTGTGTGGTTGTGGCAGACAGTGGGAATTGCAGTGTTTCACTAGTCGTAACTCATACCAATGTTACTAAGTATTCCGGCACTCCCGTTATTCTGGAAATTGTGAAAATAATTACTATGACTTATCATAAATCTATGGCATGATTAGACCAAGTGTGGAAACGAAAGTTATAATAAAGTTTGTGGAAGAGGTGGATAGATGGAAAGTTACTTAAGTATTTCTCTAATTTCCCCCCATTATGTGTGATAAGTGTTGCAAACCTCAAGAATTCAGTCAGTAGTCAGTTACTTAAACCGCTGTAGCTCCTGCTATTTACAAGACGCGAATTCAAGGCTTTTCGAAAATAAGATAATGGGACATAGTAATCAACTAAACAACTTGGTTTTTCTTACCATTCGGTCACTTGTGACCAAATTTAACAAAAATGAGATTATTGTGTCGGCTGACATCTTTCGAGCCACAAAACAGCTCTTCATACCTGCGATTATCAGTTACTTTTGCATGTTTTGACGATCCAACCTTCGGCATCGAAATTCGAGAGTTTGGACGAGCTGTTTAAGGTAGTATAAGAGATGTACTAACTACAAACATCCTTAAAGCAGGCTGGAAAGTGTTGTTGGTGAAACTATCATATTTCACCATACTTTTCACACCGAAGTGTCATGACGAGAGGCAAGAGTTTTCAGCAAATATCGTAATCTTGTCGCGATGGATTTTTCTAAAATCCTTGTCGACTATAGGAACGTATCATTTTATAAGGTCCATTCATGTATCTAACCCGAAATCGTTAAGTTTACAGATGTGCTCCGCGAAACAATCCAGTTTTTTAAAGTAATCCATTGTCTATTAGTTATCCAAAATCGTCCATCTTACATAACGGGTGGTTTTGCTGTATGTTGTCAACTTGTTCCTGGTTTTTGATGTTATTTCTGTTATTTTTGCTAATTCAGTGAATATATTTTCCATTATTTTGGTTTCAAAGTATACTGTTTGAGGTGTGTAAAGACTTAAACAAAGTTCTCCACCATCTCAAAGTTCTTACGTCTCTTTCAGTTTTGTCCCTTCTGCTTGCCTATCATGTTTATCTACATCTAAAAAATAAGGATGCATCCTATTTCATGATTTCTTTAACCAGCATTTGTTGTGTCTTCAGGTTGCTGGTTATGTCACAGTAATAGTTTGTCGGTACTATGATATCTGGAAAACTAAAGAACTTTCGCAAAACGATAGAAGACGTACGTGAAGGAAAGGAGCATGCATTAGAGGCCATCCGTAAAGACCTGACTTCGATTCCTTACATCCCAGAGCTTGGTAACTTATTTTTTGGGTTTGCTGATTGCTTTTCTTAGCAAAGTTGGATCATTTACGTTCCCTAACTCTGTCTCACAATAAAATAACTGGTGCGTTAGTTTGTCCCATTAATTACCATTTGCGGTTCAGAAATACCTCAAGAGATATCAACTCTGCAAACTTTAGAACACCTGAATCTCTTTAATAATTGTATTATGGTAGGCACCAACGTTTACTATTAATGTGCTTTTTTAAAGGATATCTCCCCAAAGATTGTGGAGTTAACATATTTACGGTCTTTAAATCTTGGGTAGGTACTATTTTGTGTCATTTTTCTTAAAATTACGAGGATGAATAAGCTGTCTGTCTTACCTCGCGGTTTCGGTGCTTTCCCTTCCCTCGAAATTCTCGACTTGACGTATAATAACTTAAAAGAAACTAGTTTACCTGATAATTTCTTCAACTTGGTAACACTTAGAGCTCTATACCTGTCAGACAATGATTTCGAACGCATTCCACCTGGCATTGGAAAGCTTTTGAATTTGGAAATAGTAAGGTTTAACATTTTAATTGAATCAACAAATTAGTTGGCTCTTCGTGACAATGACCTTGTGTCACTACCAGCAGAGATATGTTTACTTACCAGACTAAAGGAACTCCATCTTCAGAACAATCGCCTTGCTGTACTGCCTCCTGAATTAGGTAAGTCAGGTTTGTTAGTACTTTATTGTTACCGTCATTTACACTTGTTCACAAGACAAATACTTATGGCAGTTGTACGATAGTCAGTCAGTCAGCTACAACGTAGGACCAGGCACATATGCATCAGTCCAAGTTGCCATACTTCATTAACACAATGTACGATAGTTCACAGCATTGTTAAACTAACTGTTGATTATTTTTATTAAAAAAATCTTTTGATATATTAAGGCACTAAGGTATGGGGCTTAGACAATTATTAAGTCATCTGTCTGTTACTTATCTGATAAGTATACCGGAGATGCTTCCAAATTTCACTTCATGTATATGAAACACGGCTTGTGCTTAGCATTGTTTTTTTCCCAAATATATTCCCTGTTTTATTGACCTACTACAGTTTTATTACAGGAGCTACCCATCTAAAGTTGTGAAATGATTTGGATGCTTCTTTATTTCTGCATTTTTGACTAATCTGAAGTTATTGGAAGGGTGTTTTTCCCATCACTTAATGTAGTTTCGTTTAGAAAGCCTTTAGTTGATTCTTAATTACAAATACAATGTAAATGTATTTAGGTGACCGATTCAAAGTATTATTCAGTGTTATTCCATGAGACAAGTTGAAACAAGCGACATGGTAGAGTAATCGAAGCGTTGGATAACATGGATCATCTTCACATTTAATTCGTCCAATTATGAAGTAGTAAATTCTTAGTGAAACTTTGTAACAGTGCTAGCTCGTGCACTAGGTCTCAAACACGACCGTAGCTGCTACCCTGACGTGGTGGTCAGGCTTGCCTATCATAAAGAACCAATCGAGCTATACTGGCTGGAACAATCACTCCTCAAGGTCCTACCACGCCAGACAGGTCAGTTGAAGAGCAGTAAGACTAAGAGCACCAAACCAAAGGTCCGAGGGCGAAGTCGTACTGCTGTCTATACATAGGTATGAAGGCAGTTAGGTGTTTCCTTCAGACAGACAGCATAACAGCGATGCTGCCTTCCCACAAGGAAGAGTGGGGTTGGAAAAGGTCGGCCCTAAAAATGCACACCTTACCTTATCTCACGGATTTCAGTCTCCGGCGGTAAGGCCCTTTGAAGAATGCAGCAAACACGTTAAAAACTTCCCACAAAAAAGCCGTGCGCGACCGGTCTCAAGTAGTTGTCCCTTGGGCTCTGCGGTCACGCGTCAGGTCGTTAATACCAACACTAATCCAACTTCCTTTTCAGGCTCCTCAAGAAATACCCTTCCACGGTGTGGGCAGCCGGGAAGTGATATCAGCTGTCATACCCGTAACAGCACACGAGACCAAGTTGGTCACAACCAAATCCTTCCTACACCTAATAACTCTATAATCTCCACGACTAACCCTCCTCACGTTCCTTTGTCACCTCGCGCCGCTAATGCAAACGACTCGAGTACACGGAACGTTATTCCCGGCCTCCTGAAACCACGCTCTGAATTACATGTAGGAGCTTTTAATGTCCGAACACTGCCGAATAGGACAACAGGCTTCCTTAGCTAGCATCTTAGAATCTTGCCCCATCGATGTATGCTGCGTCTCCGAAACGCGCATACAGGATCCAAGTAGCGTCATTCATTTGATCTCACCATATCAAAATAAAGAACCATTTCGATTCACGCTTCGTATATCTGGAAGCCCTGATTTTGCTTCCCGTGGCCTCTCTGGTGTAGGTATAGCATTTATTCTTAGGGCAGAACTAGCTCTTTCAGACTGGATTCCAGTAGACAGTCTCTTGTGTGCTGTCCGACTAAACGGAACAGTAAGGTCTCGGAAAGATAGGAGCACTTTTCGTTGCCTTTTCGTCTTCTGTCTACTCTCCCACTGACTTTAGCTCAGATAAGATAAAAGATGAGTTTTAAAGAAAGCTTTCTGACCTCCTCCAAAAGTTAGACGCTCAGATGTAGTAGTAGTGGCTAGTGACTTAATGCTCAAGCAGGTAAACTAGGCGAAAAGGAAGGACACCTGGGTGGATCTTATAGTGTTGTGGCTCAAAGAACAGATAATGGCGACCGTCTGTTACAGCTATGCTCAGATAACCGCCTGTTTCTAGAAAATACTGACTTTAAGCATAGGGAAAAACATCTTTTAACATGTCAACCCCCGAATTCGTCCCAACGTTAGACCTAACTAGATCACATTGTGTTATAAACTCTATTCTTACGGTTATGACCCAGCTATTCCTATTGCTTAGTATTCTCGGACACCGATTCACTCGACAAGTCCCCAAATCAGAACACGGTTGAACAGGAAGGAGATTATATTCCAAATAACAAGGTTAGATGGAAGTCAGAAGCACGATAGGGGAAAACGTCAGTATATTTAAGCTTTTTACCTGAGAAGATTCTGGAGTATTCTCCAACTATCGACTAGTGCTGATTGGATAAGAATTAGCCAATCAGCGTGCACCAAAGCAATCGTGCATTGAGCTTGCTTTAATCCAGTCTATGTTCCAATAACACATTGCTATCAGCCACCGATGGAGGGGCTCGATAGAAGACTGTCGCTCATTCTGGAGCACATGCCTAGATTCAGATCATGCTCTAATGCGAGTGCGTATTTGTCCACGTCTTATTGGACGTAGGAAAGACTGTAAGGAAACGTCTTAGGGTTCTACTTAATGACAGCCAAGCTAAGAATATATTTCAGGAACAATTAGAAAAACAGTAAGGTAGCCATGTAAGTGATGCCCACCGCGAGGCAGCTAGGAATGATATCCGAAAGACTGTGAAAACAGCAGTGATATCTGCTAGTAAGGTAAACCACAAGGTTAGGGAGAAATACTGGGTCTCAGCAGCATATACCGCACTGATAGATGCTCGAGAACTCGTCCCATCTGGCTCTGAACATGATGAAGAGCGGAGTCAGCTTAAGCGCAGATTGATAAGAAGCCTACGCAATGATCGCGAACAGTGGTGGGTAGCGAAAGCAAGAGAGATGGAAAACGCAGCGGCAACGGGCAACAGCAGACGACTGTTCAGACTTGTCAAAGAAACCGGTATTACGAACCCAACTTTTAGCGAAACTATTTCGGGAAAAAATGGACATACTATTCATTCTCAATCCAGGAGATTGGATCGATGGGCAGAACACTTTAGAGATCAGTTCAACTGGCTTTCAGCCACACTTCGGTTTCCCACGATCTCTAGTAGACCTGAACGGCAAGTTGATATAAGTCCTCCAACTCTTTACGAAGTTGGAAAAGCTATAAGAAATCTGAAACGAAGGAGAGCATCAGGCCCTGACAGGTTTACCCCTGAGATGGTCCAGTATTAGCAGTGAAATTGACTGAGGCCCTAGGTAGAATCTGCGAACTGGATGTAATCCCATCTGACTGGTCTCAATCATTGATTGTGCCAGTCTATAAGAAAGGACAAAAGTCCTCTTGTGACAATCACAGACTAATATAATGTCTAAAATATTAGCTTCAATAATTCTTCGACGTCTAACCAAAGCTCGTGAAGAACAGACTAGAGAAAACCAGGCTGATTTTCGACCTGGACGTGACTGTATAGACCAGATATTCACACTACGTCAGGTCCTAGAACATAGACACACATTCAGACGCCCTACAATCGTAGTATTTCTCGACCTTAAGGCGGCATTTGACTTTGTTGATCGTGAGGTTCTATGGCAGTGTTTGTCACTGAAAGGAGTACCAAAGAAGTACATTAACCTTATAAAGGCTCTCTATTCGAACAAAACTGGTAGAGTGAGAGCTTATGGCGAACTGTCATCAGAATTGATTACCTCAAATGGTGTTCGTCAGGGCTGTCCACTCTCTCCATTCTTGTTCAACTTTGTCGTTGACGTGCTTTTAGAGATAACACTTTCCTCATCTAAATTTCAAGGAGTTGAACTTCTCTCGGGAGATTCACTTGTTGACTTAGAATATGCCGATAACATAGTTCTATTTGCCTCAGCAATAGGTTCCAGGCCTTTCATGATCTACTCAATGGAGAAGAAACTATTATGGAGAGCAACTGGAAGGGGATCAAAGAGGCAATCACTTCAATATGTCGTGAGGTCCTGGGCCACAAGAAACACCATCACAACGAATGGATCACTACTGATACACTGGATAAGATTCAAGAAAGGAGGAACAAGAAAGCAGTAATCAATACCAGTCGAACAAAAGCAGAAAAAACCAAGGCACAAGCTGAATACGCAGAAGTAAACAAACAAGTGAAGAGGAGCATCAGAACTGATAAACGTAAATATGTGGAAGATTTAGCAACAACGGCGGAAAAGGCTGCAAGAGAAGGAAACATGAGACAATTGTATGACACGACAAAGAAACTCTCTGGACATCGCCGCAAACCAGAACTACCAGTGAAAAGCAAAGAAGGCAAGGTAATCACCAACATTGAACAGCAACGAAGCAGGTGGGTAGAACACTTCAAAGAACTCTTGAATCGACCAGCTCCACTGAACCCACCCAACATCGAAGCAGCACCCACGGACCTCCCAATCAATGTTGTCTCGCCAACAATTGAAGAGACAAGCATGGCCATCAGGCAAATCAAGAGCGGCAAAGCAGCAGGACCAGACAACATTCCAGCAGAGGCACTAAAAGCAGACGTAGCGGCAACTGCAAGGATACTCCACATTCTCTTCAATAAGATTTGGGATGAGGAACAAGTACCAAAAGACTGGAAAGAAGGACTTCTGATCAAAATACCGAAGAAAGGCGATCCCAGCAAGTGTGATAACTACAGGGGCATCACTCTTCTCTCAATACCGGGAAAAGTCTTCAACAGGGTATTGTTAAACTGGATGAAGGACTGCGTAGACGCCGAATTTCGTGACCAACAGGCAGGATTCCGTAAGGTTAGATCGTGTACAGACCAAATCGCAACTCTACGGATCATTGTGGAACAATCAATTGAATGGAATTCATCACTCTACATCAACTTCATTGACTACGAAAAGGCATTTGATAGCGTGGACAGAACAACACTATGGAAACTTCTTCGACACTAC